CAACACAAGACCCACTTGTGAACTTCCTATGAAGTGTTGTAGAGTTGATAGTGTTTCAAGCGCAACACTCCACCTTCTTGTTGTCTTAAATACAGCAACACTCACATGCACTCCGGAGATCATCATGGGTTATTGGAAGAATACCGTTGTCTTGCGGTGAGTGTTGGATGTCCCATCGTGTTGCTGTAACATAACCTAGGCGTTTTAACAAAAAACGCAGCTGTAAGCAGGTGGTTCAAAACTGAGTACAGGTGTGTTGAATTAGTTGATTGTTCTAAATGTATACTGATGGAGTGCTAATGTGTTGATTGTACATTTTTTTTTATTAAAATGTTCTGGCTGGAGCATCGATGAAGATCTAAAATAGTCATACATAAAAGTATTGTTTATATATATATATTTATATATATATTTATATATATATATATATATATATATATATATATATATATTTATATATATATTTATATTCGTTGGATGATTACTGTTGATACATAAAAGGCAAGGAGGGCAAAATTTCAATAAACATTTAAAAAATGCAAATTTTACAAACCAATTACAAATTAGCAATAGACTGGAAATATTCACAAATTAAGGGAAACCAAACTGCATTCCCCTGAAAATTCATACAACTTTAAATGCGGTGAAGCAAAGTTTCGTCGATTAAACTAAGTACCGTATACGAATCTCAGATTAATTACAGTACACGAAGTTAGCAGTAAATACACAGCTGTATTAATGCTACTAACTGTCGTAATAGTTTTTTCAACTTGGAAGTTTTGATTGTAAAAAAAAAAACAAATTGCTCTCAATCAAGGCTGCAGTCTTGACAGTGTGTGTGTGTGTGTGTGTGTGTGTGTGTGTGTGTGTGTGTGTACTCACCTAATTGTACTCACATTAATTGTGCTTCTCGGGGGTTGAGCTCTGGCTCTTTGGTCCCGCCTCTCAACCGTCAATCAACTGGTGTACAGATTCCTGAGCCTATTGGGCTCTATCATATCTACATGTGGTGTGTGGTGTGTGTGTGTGTGTGTAGTGTGTGCTTGTGTTAAGTGTGTGTGTGTGTGTGTGTGTGTGTGTGTGTGTGTGTGTGTGTTCAACACTATAACTTATTTTTACCTCTAACATTAAAATATGTTTCTCATGATCTATGTCACCTAGATCTCCTCCTTACTTCCTTACTTACTATGAACATTGCTTTTTTGTCCATTTGTATTGTTTCCCCCTAGAATTTGTATGTCGTTATCATATCTCCATTGTTCCTCTTCGCCTTTGTGATGAAGTCCTGTTCCTTGAGTATTCATTCGTATCTCAATGACCTCATCACATAAACGAATATTCTTTCATAGCCTTGGATATCTTTTTTTTTGGGGGGGGTCGTTATGCCAAAGCTGCATACTCAAGAGTGGGTCCAACGTAGGTTGCATATAGAAGCTTAGTGATAAATCAGTAAATGCACTTTAGTCCTGAATATTGTTAAGGACTGAAATAAATTACAAGAGTGTATATAATATTCACCGAAAAGTGTAATGCACTTTTCAGTGTATTCAAAGCTCCACTATGTATGTGTATGGTGTATGTGCTTGTGTGTTTTCAAAGTTCATGAAATACAACGGCCTCCTGGGTAATAAATATATAAATTACATAACATTCGTACGAACGTTCGTTATGCGCACGAACACATAACATTTGCAGCCAAAAAAGTAAGGAAATTATTAAAAAAAAAAGCTTGTGTGTATACATTATAAAACGCAGTTTCCTCGTCGTTTGTCTGACAAACGACTCGTAAAATTATTCTGTCATCATCAGAGTTTTAAAAATGTCTTGCCAAACGATTACCTAAGCTTCTTTAGACGCAAATTCCATTGTTCAAAATTATTTTGCAAATAATGCCGAAGTTTCAGCGTAAATATCCACATTAATTTTCGGCAAATTTAGGAATATTTAATACAAAATAAATTTACCTACATTTTTGTTATGCCTTTCACGCAAAAAAAAAAAAAATATATATATATATATATATATATATATATATATATATATATATATATATATATATATATATATATATATATATATATATATATAGTGTGAGTGTGGTCTTCGAAACACATTCTTTCCCATAAAATAGAAAGCCATCGCCTCTGAGATAAATGTGCACTTTATTTTTTAAGGGAAATTTGGCGAGGAACTCATTAATAAGACTCCAGAGTAACCACATTCCTTTTCTTGCACCTCGTTGTGGTAATCCCGTGAGGAAATGCTGTATTCTGGGGAGTGAGCCTCTCACTTGAAGAACCTGATAAGGATTTTGAGCTTAAATTGTCATGTTTATATTAGTCTGGGCTGGTATGGACATGGCTACAGTTAAGGTTCGCTACCATGTAAGGTTAGCTACCATGTTAGAAGAGCTTCATATCTATGGATCATACAATGAAACCATTACACTTGAAGATGCCTAATGTCTACTTTTGCAATCTCAGGCTGTATTACCCGCCAGTGTAGACCTACCCAGAGGTAAACTGTGTCATTAAAGTATCCTGCATCGTTGTGTGATGGCAAGGGAAAGAATAAAAATAAAAACTAAGAGATAACTCGATCACACGTATTCAAGAAATATGCAAACATTTCATTATAAAGTATTAATACTATTAGAAACAAAAGGCAAATCCCCCAAAGCTTGCGTGAAGTAGGTAAAGCAAGCAAGTTACTCTACTTTCTGCGCTGCCCTCAATAGGGTTGCGTGAGCTACATGGCAGAAAAATTAAAACTATAATTGGTTCAATATGCCTGTAAATTGTTTGGCTTCAAGGCTACTGGGGCACCTGAACCTGAACCCATTATGAGGTACTTCCAACTTCCTACCGTTCGCCCGCGACCATGGTTATATAGGGGCTCCATGATAACCTAATAAAGACTACATGAATCATTATAAAATCATTTATTTTTATCACATCAATAGCTGTCCCCCAAATGACATCTACTATATATTCATAATTTATAAATAATGTCTATGTTGAAGAAAATATACAGGTATATGCAATTATTTTAATTTCTTGTTACTTAGTATTTCTCATATCTATCGAGTTTCGGAGTCTCATTACCTGTAGAGTCTCATTACCTCATTATAAGTCTCATTACCTCATTATAATGGCATGTATAAAATACATGCCATTACTCACGTGCTAATGTATATACACTATTGTATTGTTAAAGTCTTCAGATTTTGACGAGCATCGTGTATATGACTTGAAAGTATAAATAATTAAAAAAAAATCGATTGTTGATATATATAAGCTTATATTACGAACGCTATCAATTACCTCAAATGAATGCGAGATCCCGTGACCACTGTAAATTGCAGAGAAAGTCCAATTGTGAAGCATAACCTCTGTGCCTGGCTTCATGACGTATTGTGTCTGCCTGAGGCTTCATGACGTATTACTTTTGCCTGAGGCTTCCTTACGTATTATGTCTGTCTGAGGCTTCATGACGTATTTTGTCTGCCTGAGGCTTCATGACGTATTACTTTTGCCTGAGGCTTCATGACGTTATTATGTCTGCCTGAGGCTTCATAGCGTATTACGCCAGAGGCTTCATGACGTAATATATCTGTCAGAGGCTTCATGACATAATGTCTGCCTGAGGCTTCATGAAGTATTACGTCTGAGACTTCAAGACGTAATATGTCTGCCTGAGGCTTCATGACATATTACGTCTGAGGCTTCATGACGTATTACGTCTGAGGCTTCATGACATAATATGTCTGCCTGAGGCTTCATGACGTATTACGTCTGAGGCTTCATGACATAATATGTCTGCCTGAGGCTTCATGACGTATTACGCCTGAGGCCTCAGGACGTATTATATCTGCCCGAGGCTTCATTAAGGACTGCCTTTGTTCCAAGCTTCATAGAGTATTACGTAGCTCTGGTCTATGCTTAAAATGTTACCTCTAAACCAATCCTGAAGTATTACCTCTGTTTCAGACCTAGATATGGAAGGTGATTTGCTGTTGCTCTTCACTGATCAATCAGTTAGCCGATAAACAAATCTTCAGCCAATGCAAATTGCTACAAAAGGATTCTCCAGATCTTTTTTAAGGGGCACTTAGACTTAACCATTTATCCGGCTATTGATTGTCCGTGAAGACAGATAATGGGTTTGGAAATTGGGGTGTTGAGCGCGTGATGGGAATTAATTGAAACCTCAACAAATTACAAAACTGGTTCTGGGTAAATATGTCCCCCTCCTTCACCCCCCCCCCCTCCCCCCTTCACACACACACACACACACACACACACAACAGAAACGTTAGAAGGAACTTTTTCAGTGTCAGAGTAGTTAACGGATGGAATGCATTAGGCAGTGATGTGGTGGAGGCTGACTCCATACACAGTTTCAAGTGTAGATCTGATAGAGCCCAATAGGCTCAGGAACCTGTACACCAGTTGATTGACAGTTGAGAGGCGGGACCAAAGAGCCAAAGCTCAACCCCCGCAAGCACAAATAGGTGAGTATACACCAGGCCCATGGACTCAGGGGCCTGGTAGCCTGGTGGATAGCGCGCAGTACTCATAATTCCGTGGCGCGGGTTCGATTCCCGCACCAGGCAGAAACAAATGGGCAAAGATTCTTTCACCCTATGCCCCTGTTACCTAGCAGTAAATAAGTAACTGGGGAGTTAGTCAGCTGTCAAGAGCTGCTTCCTGGGGTGTGGGCAGGAAAAAAATAGTAGTTACTAACAGTTGATTGACAGTTGAGAGGCGGGCCGAAAGAGCAGAGCTCAACCCCCGCAAGCACAACTAGGTGAATACACACACACACACAGAAAATTCGACCATCAATATAAAACACCACACGACTTTAAAAGTTATCAAAGCCTTACAAAGAGTTATTTTCCTCTGTCAGTCACACAAATTTATACGCGCCTTTCCCAGCATATCAGCAGCAACGCGGGAAGCTTGACCGTGGGGGGCGGGGGGGGGGGGGGGGGGGGGTCACACGTACGGGGCAATAAAACAGCAAATTTCCGTCAAATCGGACCAAGAAATTCTGTTCGGCAAAGGTATGGAGATGCTGGTCCAGGTGTGAGTGTATGGAGATGCTGGTCCAGGTGTGAGGGTATGGAGATGCTGGTCCAGGTGTGAGTGTATGGAGATGCTGGTCCAGGTGTGAGGGTATGGAGATGCTGGTCCAGGTGTGAGGGTATGGAGATGCTGGTCCAGGGTGAGGGTATGGAGATGCTGGTCCAGGTGTGAGTGTATGGAGATGCTGGTCCAGGTGTGAGTGTATGGAGATGCTGGTCCAGGTGTGAGGGTATGGAGATGCTGGTCCAGGTGTGAGGGTATGGAGATGCTGGTCCAGGTGTGAGGGTATGGAGATGCTGGTCCAGGTGTGAGTGTATGGAGATGCTGGTCCAGGTGTGAGTGTATGGAGATGCTGGTCCAGGTGTGAGGGTATGGAGATGCTGGTCCAGGTGTGAGGGTATGGAGATGCTGGTCCAGGTGTGAGGGTATGGAGATGCTGGTCCAGGTGTGAGTGTATGGAGATGCTGGTCCAGGTGTGGAGATGCGAGTGGAGATGCTGGTCCAGGTGTGAGTGTATGGAGATGCTGGTCCAGGTGTGAGGGTATGGAGATGCTGGTCCACGTGTGAGTGTATGGAGATGCTGGTCCAGGTGTGAGTGTATGGAGATGCTGGTCCAGGTGTGAGGGTATGGAGATGCTGGTCCAGGTGTGAGTGTATGGAGATGCTGGTCCAGGTGTGAGGGTATGGAGATGCTGGTCCAGGTGTGAGGGTATGGAGATGCTGGTCCAGGTGTGAGGGTATGGAGATGCTGGTCCAGGTGTGAGTGTATGGAGATGCTGGTCCAGGTGTGAGTGTATGGAGATGCTGGTCCAGGTGTGAGTGTATGGAGATGCTGGTCCAGGTGTGAGGGTATGGAGATGCTGGTCCAGGTGTGAGGTATGGAGATGTGGTCCAGGTGTGAGGGTATGGAGATGCTGGTCCAGGTGTGAGGGTATGGAGATGCTGGTCCAGGTGTGAGGGTATGGAGATGCTGGTCCAGGTGTGAGGGTATGGAGATGCTGGTCCAGGTGTGAGTGTATGGAGATGCTGGTCCAGGTGTGAGTGTATGGAGATGCTGGTCCAGGTGTGAGGTGTGAGGTATGGAGATGCTGGTCCAGGTGTGAGTGTATGGAGATGCTGGTCCAGGTGTGAGTGTATGGAGATGCTGGTCCAGGTGTGAGGGTATGGAGATGCTGGTCCAGGTGTGAGTGTATGGAGATGCTGGTCCAGGTGTGAGGGTATGGAGATGCTGGTCCAGGTGTGAGGGTATGGAGATGCTGGTCCAGGTGTGAGGGTATGGAGATGCTGGTCCAGGTGTGAGTGTATGGAGATGCTGGTCCAGGTGTGAGGGTATGGAGATGCTGGTCCAGGTGTGAGGGTATGGAGATGCTGGTCCAGGTGTGAGGGTATGGAGATGCTGGTCCAGGTGTGAGTGTATGGAGATGCTGGTCCAGGTGTGAGTGTATGGAGATGCTGGTCCAGGTGTGAGGGTATGGAGATGCTGGTCCAGGTGTGAGTGTATGGAGATGCTGGTCCAGGTGTGAGTGTATGGAGATGCTGGTCCAGGTGTGAGTGTATGGAGATGCTGGTCCAGGTGTGAGGGTATGGAGATGCTGGTCCAGGTGTGAGGGTATGGAGATGCTGGTCCAGGTGTGTGTCTATGGAGATGCTGGTCCAGGTGTGAGTGTATGGAGATGCTGTTTGAGACAGATGAGAGAAAGGGAGAGGGAATGGAATGCCTTACAGACCAGATGTCTTACAGATGTATGCCTGCAAGACGTCCCCTACGCATGATATAGAAAGGTTTTCGTGTGAACGTATGAAGGAATTCCTTTTAGTTAACCTGTCTCCACAGAGATCACTATAGCACTCAGTTGTCAGGGGGCCTGACAGCTGAGTGGATAACGCTTCGGATTCGTAGTCCTGAGGTTCCGGGTTCGATCACCGGTGGAGGCGGAAACAAATGGGCAGAGTTTCTTTCACCCTGAAGTAAATGTTCCTGTTCACCTAGAAGTAAATAGGTACCTGGGAGTTAGACAGCTGCTACGGGCTGTTTGATACCTGGTTGATGGGGTTCTGGGAGTTTTTCTACTCCCCAAGCCCGGCCCGAGGCCAGGCTTGACTTGTGAGTTTGGTCCACCAGGCTGTTGCTTGGAGCGGCCCGCAGGCCCACATACCCTCCACAGCCCGGTTGGTCCGGCACTCCTTGGAGGAAATAGTCTAGTTTCCTCTTGAAGATGTCCACGGTTGTTCCGGCAATATTTCTTATGCTCGCTGGGAGGGTGTTGAACAACCGCGGACCTCTGATGTTTATACAGTGTTCTCTGATTGTGCCTATGGCACCCCTGCTCTTCACTGGTTCTATTCTGCATTTTCTTCCATATCGTTCACTCCAGTACGTTGTTATTTTACTGTTAAGATTTGGTACTTGACCTTTCAGTATTTTCCACGTGTATATTATTTGATATTTCTCTCGTCTTCTTTCTAGTGAGTACATTTGGAGGGCTTTGAGACGATCCCAATAATTTAGGTGCTTTTTCGCGTCTATGCGTGTCGTATATGTTCTCTGTATTCCCTCTATTTCAGCAATCTCTCCTGCTCTGAAGGGGGGAAGTGAGTACTGAGCAGTACTCAAGACGGGACAACACAAGTGACTTGAAGAGTACAACCCTTGTGATGGGATCCCTGGATTTGAACGTTCTCGTAATCCATCCTATCATTTTTCTGGCTGACGCAATATTTGCTTGGTTATGCTCCCTAAACGTTAGGTCGTCAGACATTATTATTCCCAAATCCTTTACATGCTGTTTTCCTACTATGGGCATATTTGATTGTGTTTTGTACCCTGTATTAAGTTTAAGGTCCTCATTTTTACCGTACCTGAGTACCTGGAATTTATCACTGTTAAACATCATGTTATTTTCTGATGTCTAGCCTGGCACCCTGACCCCCGTCCTCCTGACCCTCTTAGATTACAACAGGCCGTCGCTTCCGGCCTGTTCCATTATAATTGCATATCTGGTAAATGCTCGTCAGCTTGTCTGATGGCCGGAATTCCTGTAACACGTTCTACGAGGACTAATTACATTTGTTAATTAATAATACAAGTTCTGTCTGTGTTACATCTGGTGTCATAGTCTGACTATATTTCATTCTCTCTGCTGCGCTGCTGCAGACAACGATGATTTTGCAACTACTCCCAATTGTAAACCCAAACTGGTCTCATTATTTTGTTTCGATTCGATAAATAAAAATCAACGATACGATTTATTTTAGAATTATAGGTGAATCCCCCGATAATGTTAAATGATTCTAGAGAAACAATGTAAATTTTCGGCATAATTTACATGCTTTGAAAACCTATCAAATTATGTCAATTTACAAATTTCAATATTTTCTGCCTTTGACTCCTCACGGAGATTGAAGAGCAAACTGTCTGTTGGGTAGTCGTCTGAAACTGTCTTTTGGGTGGTCGTCTGAAACTGTTAGTAGTCGTCTGAAACTATCTGTTGGGTAGTCGTCTGAAACTATCTGTTGGGTAGTCGTCTGAAACTGTCTTTTGGGTGGTCGTCTGAAACTGTTAGTAGTCGTCTGAAACTATCTGTTGGGTAGTCGTCTGAAACTATCTGTTGGGTAGTCGTCTGAAACTGTTAGTAGTCGTCTGAAACTATCTGTTGGGTAGTCGTCTGAAACTGTTAGTAGTCGTCTGAAACTATCTGTTGGGTAGTCGTCTGAAACTGTTAGTAGTCGTCTGAAACTATCTGTTGGGTAGTCGTCTGAAACTGTCTTTTGGGTGGTCGTCTGAAACTGTTAGTAGTCGTCTGAAACTATCTGTTGGGTAGTCGTCTGAAACTATCTGTTGGGTAGTCGTCTGAAACTGTTAGTAGTCGTCTGAAACTATCTGTTGGGTAGTCGTCTGAAACTGTTAGTAGTCGTCTGAAACTATCTGTTGGGTAGTCGTCTGAAACTGTTAGTAGTCGTCTGAAACTATCTGTTGGGTAGTCGTCTGAAACTGTCTGTTGGGTAACCACCTGGATTTGTCTGTTAGTAACTAAAATCAACCAACAAAAATCCAGAACAATTAAAAAACATTTTTTTAATATTAGAACAATGAGGAATGATAACAAAAATATATAGTTCCTTTAACCGGGTTGTAGATCGAGAAGAAAACGAAAATCCAATTAAAATTCAATCTAAATAATTTCATTATTGATTCAAATAGTTTGGGATAAAGGCAATAGTTATCAGTCAGGGATAATTAACTACGATTTGGCATTAACAACAGTCGAACCATAACCAATCGTGAGTAAGTTATGTTTCTTTTTATTAATGTTCATATTACAGCTAACATTCACAGTGAGTTTCCTCCAGAGTGTTTGAAGATGATGTTATCCATGCGTGGTTGAGTGTTATCCATGCGGGAGGGTGTTGAGTATTATCCATGCGGTGACCAACGGGGCTCGTTATCTTGAGGTTATCTTGAGATGATTTCGGGGCTTTAGTGTCCCCGCGGCCCGGTCCTCGACTAGGCCTCCACCCCCAGGAAGCAGCCCGTGACAGCTAACTAACACCCAGGTACCTATTTTACTGCTAGGTAACAGGGGCATCAGGGTGAAAGAAACTCTGCTCATTGTTTCGTTCTTGGTCTCCGAGGGAAGCCATGCACTAAGACCTGTCTCCCGACCTGGTCTCCGGGAGGGGGGGGGGAGCCAGGCACAGAAGACCTGTCTCCCGACCTGGTCTCCGGGGGGAAGCCAGGCACTGAGACTCTCCGAGGTCAGTCAGGCACTGAGACCAGGCTCTTGTCTTGGTAATGAAATTCTCCGCTGCAGGAAGAAGGAAAATTGAATTATTCCCCGAGAAAGAAAGACAAGAGAGGGATTTTAGAGTTACGCGGTCAGTGAATACGACAATACGAGAGAGCGAGAGAGAGAGAGAGCACACACACACACACACACACACACACACACACACACACACACACACACACACACACACACACACACACACACACACACACACACCGGTGGGAGCCGGCGGCCGAGCGGACAGGTTCGCTGGGCACGTGATCCTGTGATTCCGGGTTCGATCCCGGGCGCCGACGAGAAAGGGTGGGCAGAGTTTCTTTCACCCCCTATGCCCCTGTTACCTAGCAGTAAATGGGTACCTGGGAGTTAGTCAGCTGTCACGGGCTGCTTCCTGGTGTGTGTGTGTGTGTGTGTGTGTGTGTGTGTGTGTGTGTGTGTGTGTGTGTGTGTGTGTGTGTGTGTGTGTGTGTGTGGTGTGGTGTGGTGTGGAGAAAGACAAATTGTAGTAGTTGACACAGTTGATTGACAGTTGAGAGGCGGGCCGAAACAGCAGAGCTCAACCCCCGCAAGCACAACTAGATGAATACACACACACACACACACACACACATATACACATAGATGCTCCACCCTGCAAACCCAACTAGGTGAGTACAAGCACATGAGTACACACACACATACAGACAGATAAAGACAGACAAGCAGTAAGACAGGTAACAAAAGAATATGACTGAGGAGAGATGGAGAAGAACAAAGTGTGAGAGGCGGAAACGGTCCCACCACGGCCCACGGAGACCGAACTTTCACTTTTGGAAAGACTCCAATTTGACTTCGTAGTCTTGAGGCATTTATATGGACTTGGTGTCCTGGCCGAGGGTGATCCTATGAGGCTTGGGTTGTATCCAGGGGAAGGTCACCTTAGAACTTGGTGACCCCCTTAAGGGGAAGGTCACGTTAGAACTTGGCCTAAGGGAGACCTCGGTGTGAGGCTCCCTTGTTCAGAGCAGACGCTGCTGTTCGTCTGCAGGCTGCTGTGTTTCGTAAGGCCCAGAGAGAGAGAGAAGGGACATTCATACAATGTCAACATTCACATATTGTAAACATTACAGTCAGCATTCACGTAATATAATAATTCCCTCAATGTCAACATTCACGTAATATAAACATCCCCCCAATACAAACATTTCCATAATATCAACATTCATCCAATGCCAACATTAACATAATGTCAACATTCACTAAATATAAACATTCACACAATGTCAACATTCACTAAATATAAACATTCACACAATGTAAAATATACAAAGTAACAATCGCCACGTTCAAACGTTTCCCAACATAACAGATGACTAAACTTTCTTGTAATTCAATTTGGAAGACTTGAACGAGTGCGTGTTTTAGTGAGGAGTGTGTGTGTGTGGACGCTCTTACTTGAGGAGTGTGTGTGTGGACGCTCTTACATCGACTTCTCTCTCTTTCCTCTCTCCTGGCTGCCTTGTTTCCCTTCACACTGACCGGCTGTTTCCTTCTCTCTGACCGGCTGTTCTAACTTCTATACCGTCGCGTTTAACAGTTTTTGCGTTATTGCTGTGATAACTGTTTATTGTGACTATCATTGTAGCTCTCACTATCACTGTTGGCTTCTATATTTTTCCTCTCACTATCACTGGAGCTCTCACTATCACTGCTGATCTCACTATCACCGTTACTCTCACTATCACCTTTGCTCTAAATACTGAACCTAGCTGGTCTTCCGAAAAGTCTAGGGCACCATCAAGTCAGCAGTACATTTAGTATTTTAATCTTTGCGGCTTATAGAATTCTGTAATATATCACCTTCAGTACAGAGCACCTATAAGGTAAGGTATACACTCCTTACTAATATAACCAATAAGACCGACCCCCATCAGTCTCCTAGATCACTTCCCTGCAAAGTTGGTTGAGGCTATTCCTTAGCGTCTGGCCTCCAACTCTGGACAGGCATAGATACAAACAGTTTGATAGATAAGTGATATTGTGATAACCAGCTTTGTCTCAGCCAGTGGATAGTGACATAGCATTGCTTATCGTGTGAGAGAGAGTGGGTGGGGGGGAGACAGACCCGTCTATTCTCCCTCTAGTGTATATATATAAACGAATTAGGGTGTGTATAACTAGGCTCCATCGACTTGGTCTGGTCAGTACAGAGCGGCAACCTCGCTTCCTGTAGGGTCTGAAGCTCGTTTCCTGGTAGGTTAAGTGGTTGACCCCATTCTCTCGCTCCGTCCTTCTCTATTCCCGCTCCGTGACCTCGTTCCCCTTCTAAGTACAATTGTCGTATTAGCTCTGCGCTTTCTCTTTGTTCTTACCTGGCATGCCTCGTCTGTTCCAAAAAAGGTCTTTTTGCCTTTTACCTTAATCGCAGGTTATTGTGTTCTTATGTTCTAACAATTTACTCCAATATTATGAATTTCATTTCCGAGGCTATTACGGTGAATGATCGAGAACAGAGAAATATGCATAACTGAAAAAGCATAAATCTTGTTTCCTCCTTTTACTCTTCAAAGTAGTTAGTAAGAAAACACAGCACAAGATTTTCTTACATTAGAGCTTCTCATTGATCGTTTTACTTTGCGAGCGAAGTGTTATATATACCTCTTTAGATCCCACTACGGGATCACCATAGCCCGTGCTACTTGGAACTTTTTCTTCCAGGTAGCGAATTGTAAACAACAACCCTCATCCTCTTTATGCCACCTTTTGGGTGGCTTAATCATCATCAATCAATCAATCCTCATCTTCCAATGGAGAGATTGCACAGGACGTCTATACACAAGCTAGGAATGACAATTAAGCCTGATCGCCATCATAGAAAATAATTTTTCGAAGCTGTTCTCTTCAAAAGAATATAGCTTCCTCTTACACCACGACTCAGGTCTCTGAGGCCTTGCCCTTTATCGTTAAGACATATCTCACTACCTCCACTAGGGATGATTTTTATTTGCTATACTCAACAGTGAATATTTTATTTGCTATACTCTACAGTGATGATTTTTATCACTGCTAATAAAATTTCATGATTTCTCACGAAATACACTATCACTGTTGATAGTGTAGTTACCCCCTAAAGTTATGTATGTTGTTACCCCCCCCCCCCTGCAAGATAGGAATAGGGGGTAACTACAGTGATAATTTTTATTTGCTATACTCTACAATGATGATTTTTATTTGATTGACTCTAAAGTGATTATTTTTATTTGCAATACTCTACTACAGTGATGATTTTTATTTGCAATACGGTACTATGATTTTTGTATTTGCAGTACGGCACTGCGTTGTTTTATTTTATTCGCGGTACATTGATTCTATTTGCAATACAGTATAGTTTTTATTTGCAATATAATACATTGGTTTTTAGTTGCAATATAATACATTGATTTTTATGCTTGCCATACGATAGTGGTTTTTGCTTGCCATACGATAGTGATTGTTTTAATTAACAATACGATACACAATTTTTATTTACAATACTGTGAGTTATCTAACAAATGACCTGAACTTTGGACAGTGAAACCAGAGTTGGTTTCCATCATTCCGGTAATAAACAGAGTGGGGGAAAAAAACCCGGTCTCATTTGCATGTTTCATCCAGCGATCCCAAGCGACACTTTGCCACCATGGACGCTTTGGAACTGCATTGTTTGCAGTTATACTGTCAATCGCTGAATTAATTCACGTCCTGGGCGTTGGTTATCCTACGATGCAAGTGATATATTTGGATATTTATCTTTTTGAAAAGTTTGTTTGCTATCACTGAGAGCTCTGGACTCGTATAGTTTATTCCTACTAAATATCCATGCAAATGTTGCGCTGTTTAATTCTGCCAGATAAACTAGGCAGGTTCAAAATTATATCGTATTTAATTATCCACACTGCAAGAAGATAATAATCAATTCCACCCTTCTAATAAATCACTATTTTTCATTCCTATATATTAAATCATCAAGATAAAGGCTCGTATTAACCGGTAGTTATCCAATATGCTGCTGCGTCACTCTCCCCCATTAATAGAATCCTCTCAGAGACACATTAACCCTAATGGTAATAGGGTCACGAGCAGATATAAATACCTTTCTGACTTTGTAACTTTCGTTCCCGCTCCAGGCAAATTAAGAGATAATTAAGCTGATCAGCGTCGGTATAGCCTTCAGGAACTAGGACAAAGGAGCTCTTAGGGCATGTGTAACGTACGTGAGGCATGCCCTTTAGTATGCAGCAATTGCATGGTACCTCCACTCTATAGTAGTGTGGAAGGGAAGGAAGGGTGTCATGATAAGGGAGAGGAGGTGGGGGGGGGTGACTGTCAAGGTAGTGGGAAGGGAATGAGTGCTATCATAGGGGAAACGCCACGCCATTATGACTATATAACACTGGGAAGGGATCAGGAAATGGGATGGGAGGGGGAAGGAATGGTGCCCAACCACTTTGACGGTCGGGGATTGAACGCCGATCTGTATGACGCGAGACCGTCGCTCTACTGTCGAGCCCAAGTGGTTGGACTCGTGGTAGGGGTAGGAGCAAGGGGTAGCTGTCATGGTAGAGGGGGGGGGAGAAACAAGGGGGTGATATTTTACGAAGGTAATTTCACAGATAAAAGGAAAGACATGAAATAATGCAAATGAATTAAATAACATTAAATTTGCATAGTGTATAATTAATTATATTAGTCATTTCGAGCTATTTATATTCATAATTTCCATAATTAATCTGTCACTGTATTCCGGGCTCACAGATCGTGGGAGATCAAACGGGGTTTATCTTCACAATTTATTGCCTTGCGTTTATTCTGCACTTTATATATATATATATATATATATATATATATATATATATATATATATATATATATATATATATATATATATATATATATATATATATATATATATATATATATATATATATATATATATATATATATATATATATATATATATATATATATATATATATATATATATAATATATATATATATCGAGCTATAAAAACACACCAAACTGAGGAGACTCTCACGGCCAAAAGCCCAGTGACATGAACCTGAAAATGACGTGAACGCAGGATGTGTGGCCAGTGAACACAGGATATGTGGCCAGTGAACACAGTGAACACATAATATGTGGGCGCCACTCTCCAGATATCATGTTTCAAAAAGAGTTTAATGAGAATTTTAGTTTATAGATTAGAAATAAAGTGCTCTGAGTACTGAAGTGTTTGTGGTGTGGGGCGATACTGTGTGGTGTGGGGAGATATAGGTTAAGTTATAATTGTACTTAAGAAGCAATAAGATGCTTATCTTAACATACTAAGAAGGTTAGGTGAGGTCGGTGTTTTCTATGAAGCTTTTCAAGGTAAACTAAAATATTTACAATCAATTAGTATGTCACATATGCCCTTATTAAATAAGCCAATATTGACTATACGCAAGTGCGAGAACGGGTTGGGGGAGATACTGTGTGATAGTCCCTCCTCTCTTTTCCCGCCTTTCCCTTCTCCATCTCTCCCTTCCCTCTTCCTTCTCATCTCTCACTCATGGTCCCTCGTGTTTCTAAAGTCCGGCACCGCCCCTCTCTCTCTCTCTCTCTCTCTCTCTCTCTCTCTCTCTCTCATTGTCATTCTATCTTCTTAGGGCCATACCTCTCTTTTAGTCACGTCTCTCTTCTCTCATTCCTTTCCAACTTTCTCTCTCTCTCTCTCTCTCTCTCTCTCCTACTCTAACTTCTGTTACTCTCTCTCCGCTCCTGATCACTCTTCTACTCTCGACTTTCCTACTCGCTTCTCTCACCATCCCTCTTCTCTCTACTCTCTCCCGCCTCTTCTGCTCTATCCTTTCTTGCTCTCTCTTTTCACCCACGCTTCGTTTTCTTACCTTCTTGCTTTTGGTTCTCATATTCCTCCTAATCTTTGCCCTTCCATATCTTCTTTCTGCTACGTCTTAGGAGGCATTACACTGTCGACTTTCACCAAGCACAAAACATCTCAGTTTTCTAAGACCACAAACTCTACCACACACACACACACACACACACACACACACACACACACACACACACACACACACACACACACACACGCGCGCGCGCGCACTTGTCAGCATTGTCCCCGCTCATATACAGCTTGAAAATCTTCGCCAGTTAATATTACAGCAACTAGAGAACTCTGATAGCAACACAGAATATATATAACTTAATTTTCGATATATAAATCGACTGGTAAATTTGAGTCAAAACCTGGAAACCAGTTCAGAGTTCGAGACCTCGTTGGAGGGTATATACCCTTTGATGTGATCCAAGAACGACATTGACGTCGCTTGTATTATTAATGATTATTTAACCCTTAAACTGCGCAACTTTTTTTTTTAAGTATTACATCAAGATGCGCATGTTTAAAAGTAGTTAACTCAAATGGGTCAAATAAAATCGCATTTTAGCGTTTGGAGCAATGTAAGGGTTATTAGAGCGGTCCGTTATTACTAAAGCGGACAATAGATCACTAGTGACAAGTTTTGCTGTTTGTGAAAACACATACATCAGGTTTCTTCAGGGGTGAGCAACGATAACAGAGAGCCTTTGATAACGGCTGAAGGGTCTCTTAAATTGTAAAAACCTTTGAACCGGTTTCAGCAATTTAATTGATGTTCTGTCACATCTTGATCTGTGGACCATACGTGTCTCTAGCATCACACTCGAGCCGTCTTGTTCCGTTCATATATATTTTGAACAATAATTTATTTTAAGTCTCTTTCATGCCTTCCCTTCCCTCTTTTATCGCTATTCTTTCGTCGATAAATCATTCTTATTCAACATTTCTTTAAACACGTACTACGTAATTCTGGGACGAGACTCGATGCAAACATTTGTATTTTTCAATTTCCTTAATTTATGTTTAAGGTGGGCACTTGACGAAAGGGCTGCATACTCTTGGACTGGTCTAACATCAGTTGTGTATAGTAATCTGAAATGAAGTTATCTTATTTGTGCCATTGAGCTATGACTTGATGAAATATCAACTCGAAGGTCTTTTTTTATTTCGTGTCAGTGAAGGTGGTTACACTTAATTATACATCTTCCGGATGGTCTCCTGGCCCATATATTCATTTTAATCACATTGCATTTACTGGAATTGAATTCTAGCAGCCATATCTTGATTTAACACTTGTTATCCTGTCTCTCTCTGTTCTTATTGTCTTCAAGTGTAGTGAGGTCCTGTTTCTTCAACATTTCTTCATAGCTCATTTTCCTTAGCTGTGTGTGTGTGTGTTCCTTTGTTGTTACCCTGTTACACTCACCTGTTCTCACTTACCTAGTTGTGCAAGTCTGTTCTTTTCCAGTTTTGCATACCTGTTCATACTCACACAGTTGTCCCCCACTGTTTCCAGCCCAGTTGTGCTCAGTTGGCTACGGTGCACACACGTGTGTGTGTGTGTGTGTGTGTGTGTGTGTGTGTGTGGGTGTGGGTGTGGGTGTGGGTGTGTGCACTGTGCTGGCATCCGTAGTCATGAGCCACAGGATGCACAACAACAACGGTAGTACTAAATGTGGTAACATTGTGTTCTGGCGCTCTACGAACTAAATTTGTTTTTTTTTTCCGTTGATAGGAAAAAATGGTAAGTCAGAGTTGCAAACAGTTTTGCTTGCTGCCTCCATTATTGCAATCCTGATGAATATATCTGGCGGATTACAAAGGATGACAAAGGCTGCATACACATTTACCCGGGGAAAAAAAATGTATTGGATATCCCTCGGCTTTAAAATGTCACTGTGGTAATAGTGGAGATGTTTTTGTTTAATATTAGTGGATGATTGGTATTGGATGTTAGGACAAGAATATTGTATTATTATTTAAAGATTTTAGTCGATATTTCTTGCAGAAAATGATGCTGATAAGCATTATGAGGCGAGTTTGATCCATTTTTATAAGCTCTGTAGTTTTTTATAGTTACGTCACTTTTCGTACGGTTTCAGTGTGCTTGAACGTACGATGGTTTGACGCTAATATGGACTGAACCGCTTTTACTGACTTGATCAGAAAGGTCTCGTATATACACTTTGAAATCTTCCTCTTGCTTACTACCGAGATTCTGTTTACACTTACAATTACTAGTTGAAATAACGCTTTCCTCTCGTGAATGGAACTTGTGGGTGGGCAAAAACCAATTAATTGCCGAATTACCTTAATCCTGTAAGTGGGACGATCACCAGCCTAAAGTGGCTTAAAGCCAGGCCCGTTGTTTCTCTTAGTCATCTGATATAACAAACAAAAAATTATATAATCATACTTCTAGTTTTGGCAAAATATGGTAAACATTTATTGTGGCTTCTCGCTCAAAAAAAAAGGGTCGAGTTAATAATCTCGTGTCACTGATTTTATGAGAAAAATGTTTATTTGGTCGAGCACAGTGATGCAAACAAGCTGTCACATTATCAGATAAGTCTTCGGTTATAATATAATTAGGTAAAAAATACGTAATTACCTGCCGTCCTCTTTATAATAGTAACTAATGGTATGGATTAAGGGGGATTGCCGCCTTCTAAGCTCTGTCATCATCTTAGATATATTGCTGACTGGTGTTTATGTTGGTGTAATGAAGATAATGACAACTGTAATTAGCTTTGACATATTTGTAGCTAGAGCTTACTGTCAGCTTAGACGTGGAATACTGATTAGAGCTTAACAACCAGCTTAGACGTAGTTCTGAGCAGAGCCTTGATGATAAACCCTTGATGAACCAGATGGATATCATCTGTAATCTGTAGGCTGCTTGGACATGTTCGAGACATGTAAGTGACTCGGGACGGTGTGTATGGAGGGAGGAAACCAGGTGTTTAGCTCGCAACGTGATTTTTTTTGGTTCTGTCTCTGTTCTCTATGTCTGTTGGTCTCTATGTCTGTTTATTAGTCTATAGAGCCAGTCGTAGGACGCCTGGATACGTTGGGGACACGGTATAGCAGTAAGCTACACGGAAGGGAGGGAGAGTGTATTGCGAGAAGGAACATGGCTCTTCGGTCGAAGTGCAAATTTTGCGATAACCTCTTAAAGTATGTTGACCAGACCACACACTAGAAGGTGAAGGGACGACGACGTTTTGGTCCGTCCTGGACCATTCTCACAATCGACTTGAGAATGGTCCTGGACGGACCGAAACGTCGTCGTCGTCCCTTCACCTTCTAGTGTGTGGTCTGGTCAACATACTTTAGCCAC